TTCTAAATTGAACATGTAGAAATATAAATTATTTTTATTTCTGTAAAACAATATTGCCATAAGAAGTAGAAGAATAAGTCATCGTAATTTTAACTTTTTTAATCAGACTACATATGTTGTACTCTCTAGTAGGTTATGTATTTATAAATACAAAAGCTTTTTACTTTTATTACTCCGTTGCAATGTTGAGCTCGTTCCTCGACATATTTTCACTCCGACCATTATAAGAGAGCGTAATCGTATGTACAGTGTGTATCGCTATCATAGTGTGTAGTCCGTAGTATAAATGAGAATCCAAGAACAAATCATCACAGGGTCAGGGCGGTCAAGTTTACCTTATTTCGCATAGTCTGAATTTTTTTAGCCGTTCTAGCAGAGTTGGTTTGAGCGCAATGTCAGAGATGATAATCAGCTCGAAAGATAGCACAAATGTGATGGACACACCTCCCATTTACTTGTGGCAAAGCAAGCAAGAACGAGGGAAATTCCTGCTGAAATGGACCATCTGCGCCAGTGTTCTCATTTTGTTGGTTGGATACTTTAGACTGTCTGCGAGCTCATTGACAATAGAGAGCTATATGTCAGACTATGGCGATCCCGCTGAGCATCTACAAAAGGTGAGTGTTGTCATACCCAACTATTCGCAGGCTGATTAATGTGGTGTTCTACCCCGTCGCCCCTTTTAAAACATACAATTACAAAGATACATAATATGTTTTTATAACTGCAGCTCTCAAAGTATGATACATCACCACGGTATAATTCCGACGCAAAAATCAATCTGCATTTGGTACCACATACTCACGATGATGTCGGGTGGCTCACAACGGTCGACAATTACTTCACCGGAAGTAAACAGCATATGGGCTATGTTCAGACAATTCTCGATACGGGTATGCTACTGGTAATACAGACATTGATTTGGACTTTATTGGGCAGACAACGCTTGCTTGCTAGATGTATTGTTGATTGTCAAACTAAAATATATCGAAAATTCTCACGGTTGGATTTGATATCATCATAGCAATGTCGGCCCTGGAAAGAAACCCTGATCGGAAGTTCATGTATGTTGAGATTGCCTTCTTTATGCGATGGTGGAGTGAACAAAGCCGATCTATTAAGCGTCGATTCAAAAGGCTCGTGGAGTCGGGTCAGTTCGTTTTTGTAAGCGGTGGTTGGAGCATGAATGACGAAGCGACCGTTCACTACGGCCCTGTGATTGACCAGATGACTTTAGGTATAAAAACACTATACCCTTGTCTATGTATAAGGTCATCTATACATACTGCCATAAAGTATACGAATTTACGAAAGTATACACAAAAGCAGCAAAACCGTCGAAATCGCCAATTCCATGTTTGTAGTTCAAATGTATTTATAAATTTACCGACTTTATCCGGTACTATCAGGGCATCAATTCTTGATTTCTGAGTTTGGGGTCGTTCCGAAAATAGGGTGGCAAATTGATCCCTTCGGTCATTCTAATGCACAGGCTGAACTGTTTGCTGAGATGGGATTCGAAGCTTTCTTCATGGGACGCATAGACCAAGGTAATCTTTCTAATTTTTCAATTACCGATGTCTACATGCATTTTCGCACAAGCACACACGTGTACACACACACACACACACACACACACACACAC